GGGGGGGCCTTCATGGATTCTTGCATCAGGGCCCTGAGGTCACTAATTACGCCTCTGCCTGTATGTGTGTGTATATGTTTCCCCGAAAATAAGACCTCCCCCAAAATTAAGACCTAGTACTATTTTTGGGAATTGCTAAAATATAAGACCTACACCGAAAATAAGACCTAGTTGTGACCATTCCCAGGGCCGGTGGTGGCATAAGGGGGAACTTGAAGAGCCCCGGGAGAGGCAGGAGAGAATCAGCGATGCCAACGCTAGAGGAATCGAGGGGGCACCGGAGGGAGCAGAGCCGCATAAGCCGATGCCTCCTCTATAGCGCCGGCTCCTGTCACAGGCGGAGTGATACCAATTGCACTCCGCCTGTGAGGAATCGATAGTGAAAGTGCGCTTCGCTCGTTCTGGCGATTGGCTAGCAAATTGCTCTTGGAAAGGTACGGCACCCCTGATTGCCATATTTTTGTACATGAATAAGTGTGGATTGTTGTACATTAAAAAATAAAATAAGACCTACCCGAAAATAAGACATAGTTCGTTTTTTTTAGCAAAAAAAAAATTTTAAGACAGTATCTTATTTTTGGGGAAACACGGTATATATATTTGTATGTATGTATGTATGTAAGGGCTTGTTCACACCAATTGCGGTGCATTCCAGAGCGGTAGCTGCTGGAACGCACCGCAATCACTCACAAAACTTCCCCCTGCGTTCTGGAAGTCAATGGCACCGCAGCCACGCCCCCCTGCCCGCAGTGCGATTGAACGGGTGGCAAAACATTGCCTGCTTTCCGTTCCACTGCGAACGCAGAAAATGCGGCATGCTCTATTTTTTGCGTTTGCCGTGGAACGGAAAGCAGGCAGTGTTTTGCCACCCGTCTGATCACACTGCAGGCAGGGGGCGTGGCTGCGGTGCCATTGACTTCAATGCACCGCCACGCCCTCTCCCGCCCCAGAACGCAGGGGGAAGTTTTGTGAGCGATTGCGGTGCATTCAAGCAGCTACCGCTCTGGAACGCACTGCAATTGGTGTGAACAAGCCCTAAGTAAAACACACACAAACGTACTATAAAAAGTGTATAAACTATCAAACACACTTTCTATATTCATCCCACTGCCCACACAAATGCTGGATTTCTCCCACATGCAGTGCAGTAACACAATACTCTGCTTTCCAGTGAGATGCCACTACACTATTTTTGCCAAGTGCACCACACCACCGCACAGCACTTCTAAGGGCCAGTTCACACCAATTGCGGTGTATTCCAGAGCGGTAGCTGCTGCAATGCACAGCAATTGCACACTAACCCCCCCCAATAGTTCTGGGGCAGGAGGGGGCACAGTGCCATTAGACGGGAGGAGGGGGGTACTGTTTACGATATTTATTAACTCTCACAAAGTTAAGTATTATACTTGCATTTATTTTCAATACAAGCAACATAACAATATATCTTTCCTCACTTCTCCCCTCGCTTCTCCTATATTCTCCCCCATAAAGTAGCCATGCGCCTCTATGGTGTTCTGGTTTCGCATGAAGAAAAGGTGGCAACCCTAATCTGCCTACATCTAAGCAACCAATGACACAGTGCGGCCTATCTGTTACCATCCAAGCAACCAATGACACCGTGCGGCCTATCTGTTACCATCCAAGCAACCAATGACACCGTGCGGCCTATCTGTTACCATCCAAGCAACCAATGACACCGTGCGGCCTATCTGTTACCATCCAAGCAACCAATGACACCGTGCGGCCTATCTGTTACCATCCAAGCAATCAATGACACCGCTTGCTCTAGGGTACCATGGCACCTGGTTGAGAAAGGTTGCTCTAGGGTACCATGGCACCTGGTTGAGAAAGGTTGCTCTAGGGTACCATGACACCTGGTTGAGAAAGGTTGCTCTAGGGTACCATGACACCTGGTTGAGAAAGGTTGCTCTAGGGTACCATGGCACCTGGTTGAGAAAGGTTGCTCTAGGGTACCATGGCACCTGGTTGAGAAAGGTTGCTCTAGGGTACCATGGCACCTGGTTGAGAAAGGTTGCTCTAGGGTACCATGGCACCTGGTTGAGAAAGGTTGCTCTAGGGTTCCATGGCACCTGGTTGAGAAAGGTTGCTCTAGGGTTCCATGGCACCTGGTTGAGAAAGGTTGCTCTAGGGTTCCATGGCACCTGGTTGAGAAAGGTTGCTCTAGGGTTCCATGGCACCTGGTTGAGAAAGGTTGCTCTAGGGTTCCATGGCACCTGGTTGAGAAAGGTTGCTCTTGGGCCTTGGTTCTCAACTGGTGGGTCGCGACCCCGTGTTCAGTGGGTCGCCGCATGCCTTCCACTTTTCTAGGTGAGAGACTCCACAGCCTCCCCCTAGCACAGCACTGTCAGTTCTCGCGCCAAGCAGCCATTCAAAATATGCTGCCCAGTGCTGAGTGTCAGCTTTAGGTGGGGCAGGCTGGGGGTATGGCCGTGAGGGAGCTCCGTCCATACGTGCATTGCTTACCTTTGGAGGTGCCTGGACTGGAGTGACGTCACATTCTGGCTCTCGACACCTCTACAGGGCGAGCAATGGTGATGCACATATGGATGTAGCTCTGTCACAGCACAGCAGCCCACACTGGACGCCAGGCTGAGGACCCACTCCAGTTCTCGTAAGGTAGGGAGACTGGGTGGACCTCAAAAAGAAAAGTGTGCATGAGAATGTGTCTGCATTTGTATGTTTGTCAGTGTTCTTGATGCCAGTTCATACTAGTACAGTGCGTCAAACTGTACCACACAGTAACAACTACCGTGCATTCTGGTGTGGGAGGTGTGTTGCGTTGCTATTCATTTGAATTGTACTCCAAATGCACCTCCCACCCACAATGCATACGGCCGCACCAGAACGTGCAGTACCCTAATGCCGTGTGTTCCATTGCAGTGCAATTGGGTTGCGACTTAATGGTCAAGGACAAATGTGGGTCCTGAGGTTACATAGGTTGAGAACCACTGCTCTAGGGTTCCATGGCACACTGGTTGAGAGAGGTTGCTCTAGGGTTCCATGGCACACTGGTTGAGAGAGGTTGCTCTTGGGTTCCATGGCACACTGGTTGAGAGAGGTTGCTCTTGGGTTCCATTGCACCTGGTTGAGAAAGGTTGCTCTAGGGTTCCCTGGTTGAGAGAGGTTGCTCTGGGGTTCCATGGCACCTGGTTGAGAAAGGTTGCTCTAGGGTTCCATTGCACCTGGTTGAGAAAGGTTGCTCTAGGGTTCCAAGGCACCTGTTTGAGAAAGGTTGCTCTAGGGTTCCCTGGTTGAGAGAGGTTGCTCTGGGGTTCCATGGCACCTGGTTGAGAAAGGTTGCTCTAGGGTTCCATGGCACCTGGTTGAGAAAGGTTGCTCTAGGGTTCCAAGGCACCTGGTTGAGAAAGGTTGCTCTAGGGTTCCAAGGCACCTGGTTGAGAAAGGTTGCTCTAGGGTTCCCTGGTTGAGAGAGGTTGCTCAAGAGTTCCAAGGCACCTGGTTGAGAAAGGTTGCTCTAGGGTTCCCTGGTTGAGAGAGGTTGCTCTGGGGTTCCATGGCACCAGGCTGAGAGAGGTTGCTCAAGAGTTCCACGACAACTGGTTGAGAGAGGTTGCTCTGTGGTTCTATGGCACCTGGTTGAGAGAGGTTGCTCTGGGGTTCCATGACACCTGGTTGAGAGAGTTTGCTTCGGGGTTCCATGACACCTGGTTTTCTTATGGATCTACTTCAATCTGGAAGAGTGGAAGTGAGAAGTTTTCCTCTTCTCCCCCCAGGGGTTCCCAGCATTAACCCCTTCCTCCTCCGATCCTCCATCCAGGGTGCAGTGTGATGGATGGTGGTATGAGCCGGGGGGCGGGGGGGGAGTGCGGAGCTCTGTGAACATTCCTGAAGTGTGGAATCCTGCTCTTCCATATATGGGCACGGTGTCAGAGAGGGGGCGGGGCCGGGACCGGCCATACACTCCAATACATGGTGTGCAGGCGGACAGTACTTGTATCTCTTTGTAGGGGCGTTCCTGCGAGTCGCACAGACCACGCCCCTCCGTGCTGGAGGACTCAGCCATCAGGAGAAGCTCCTCCACATCTTCAGACTCGGCGCTTGGGAGCAGGAACTTCACTGTCCCGGCACGATGGCCACCAAACGCTTCGTCCTCACAGGACCCGCACCATGGGGATTCCGACTGGTGGGAGGGAAAGACTTCGAACAGCCGCTAACTATTTCCAGGGTAAGCCCCCGACTCTGATCTGACCGCTGTGAGCGCCCGATGGGCAGAGAGGTTAGCGCTGTGCTGTGCATAGGGGCTGTGCTGTACTGTACTGTCATATAGGGGCTGTGCTGTACTGTCATATACTGTACATAGGGGCTGTGCTGTACTGTCATACTGTACATAGGGGCTGTGCTGTACTGTCATATACTGTACATAGGGGCTGTGCTGTACATAGGGGGTCTGTGCTGTACTCTCATATGGGGGGGGTGGCTGTGCTGTACTCTCATATGGGG